CGATCGAGAAATCTGAGCTTCAGATGATCAATGCCAAACATAATACTGTACAGTGAATTATTCTTACAGACGAAGTATATTTGATGGTCTTGGAGGTGCAGTATTCCATCGAGGAAAGTATTTGAAAAATTGTCCGCAAAAAATTTGTGGATCTGCCATTACTCGAAAATCAAAAATTATCTGAAGGAAGAAGTCCATTACTGCTGCTGATAAGATTTGCTCGAGGGCAACAATAAGCTTATCTGTCGCTTGTTTAGGAAAAATTTAAAGTACTCGAATAAGAGTATATGTAATTTCTTCATAAGATTGTGATAGTTATGGAAAGCAAATCCAATATAAGCGTTTCTAAACGCATCTAGTGGTAGGCCTCTTTTTTCGAAAGGTCAAGGTCAATAATTCTCTTTCCTTGTTAGCCTCTTTCATAAGCTTATTTGCATCAATATTTAAAAAGAAGAGGAAGGGCATTTTATCATAAGCACCTTTGCGTAGTTGTTGGTCTGGAACGGAAACAGTTGACAGTAAGGGCAAGTATGCTTGTAAGAAATTGTGATAAATTCTTCAAGACCGCATCACAAAAATTAGCACATCTTATACAAATCTCCCTAAAGAAAGCCCATATACGACCTATTCCTGTTCTGGTTTGCAAAGGCTTACAGATATAAACATTCCAAAAGCGTCCAAAGAAAGAATTTACTAAACCCATTGGAGTTTTTTTCTGATTCTTGTCCACATCATCAAAAGCTGAGCCCATAACATCATTCATTTTCGCATAAATGCTGTCGCGGAACTCATTGAGAATGTTGTCCACTTCCGATGAAAACTAATAAGAATTGGAATTTTCTCAATAAGATTGTTATAGACTAAAGATTCTTACCCGCTGTAACCCAACTGAAATTCCTCGAGCTTGTTCGATCTTGCTTTGGAATGCATCATAGGAAGAAACTGTATCAAGTTGCTCGTCAATAATTTCAATTTGGTGGAGAATATCATATGCTTTCTTGAAAAAAAAAACAATTAATTGGTGTATGATTTCCCTCGTTTTTGAAGCAAAACAAACAAAGTCATTTATCTTGATGTAACAAAATTTTGCTCAAAAAGTAGACTAAAGCTATATCCAACGGAAACTACCTCTTTAAGGAGATCTCTAGCAGAAGTAGTCCCTGAATCGAATCCAGCAATAGCACGATCGATAGCTAGTAGACCTTGACGTTTCGCTTTGAGAACGGATGCTCTGCCAGCCTAAATTGTTTGAAAGTTTTTCCAATAATCTTGAGGTAAATTTTAGCCTCTTCGTCAATCCAGAAACAAGTCAAGTTTGGGGAAAAAAGAGGGGCACACAGTCTAACGAAAGGTAGCGGCAGTCGCTTAGTTCAATGAGTATGTATCAATTTGCAACTTACAACCACATCAGATACTGTCAACACATGCTTTTCCACAATGTCGTGACCATTGTGATTTCTAAGACAGCAAACTGAGCATAGCTGATGCTGAAAGCAACCTTACTAATAGGTAGAATTTCTTAATAAATTAAAACCTTTGTAAGTGAAATAGACATGAGTAGACAAATGTGGATTTTCACATTATGGGGCTCGAAACCTCAAAATATTCGATTATACTTGAACATGAAGAGGTTGTTTGAAATGCCGATCACAAAAATTATGTCTACTTTGGTGGGACTTTGTGTGACTACGATAGGTATGCGATAAAGAGTCGAAAACGTGTGTGCGTGTGAATAGGGTCCATAAAAACTAAAGAAAAGAAGAAAATGGTTAACGACTGCTGGCATGCTTACAGCAGCGTTGCCGTTTACCACAGCATCGTACTCACCATCAAGAGCACATGTTTTGTGGGCTCTAGAAGAGCACACCCTCTAAGAGTATAAAGCGGCATTTGCAGAATTCTAAGAGAATGCTCGAATGTCCAAGCAATTAGTCAAATGCGGAACTAATCGCTATGCAGAGTGGTGGACCGACAGTTTTTGAAGCATTAGTTGTTTGGTAAGGATACCGAACGCAAGCGTATAGTAGGATCCTAAAATACATAAAATAATTTTCGAGACAACCATGTCGAGTAACTTTCCGTACAAATTTTTGACGCTCTTTCTCCCCATTAGTCTATCTACCGTATTCCTATGTGAAAACCGTGCAGTGTAAAAAAGTCATATCTTTCAGAATCAATCTCGCTTGAGTGAGCTAGAAATTCGTGATTCCCACCTCCTGCCGCCTGCCCATGATCCGATGTCTACTATAATACTCTATCGTAAATAAACTTCATTTTCACGACCATGTCGAACAACCCCGCTGCAGCATTTCTCAGGCGTATCCATGGCCCCTTTTTGTGCATCTACCGTGATCCAATAGTAAGACTCTACCGATCATAGGGCATAGTTTCTGTGATCAGTACGACAAATTAATCTTCAGAATGAAGATTGAGCAAAAGGCAAAATGTTCTTTAGGCAGCCCATTTTCCAATTTCTCCTATTTAAAAAGAAAGACATAAAGAAACTTGTAGCAGCTGACCGCTTTTTGTTCTTCTGAAGCGCAAGTTCGACATATCATATACATTCCCTTTGTTATAACGTCGTGACAGGCTAAACACTTGAGAACACTCCCCCTTTCTTCACTGACAATGTCGTCGCTATTCCTGTTGGTTGCTGTAGTTGTCTCGGACATTATGGCTACCAGATCTACAAAGGTGAAGATTGAAATTTGCTTTTTGCGATAAATTTCCATTATTCATAGGCTTATTTACCCTTTTTATTCAACAATGTCGTTTAGAGTACAAATATATTGAGCTAGGGTTTTCAAAAAGGTGTCCAAGCTTACTTTGCTAGTTTTCTTCTCGTCAAATAGTTTGCAAAACCTTTTTTGTTAACCTTCGTCGGGAAGGAATGCGAAGAAAACGAGGTCAATGACTTGCATGAAGCAACCTACCTCGTAGACGGTAATTAACAGGTAATCCTTCTGGAGGGACTCTGGTATACCGACGACATTCAGGACATTTGATAACGGGCTCATATCCAGATGCATCGCTACAATCATCCTCGGTAGTATACTGAAACTATGAATGATATGAAAAGGAGCATTAATACGACTAACCTCTTGTTTTGATTAAGAAAGAATGGGATTTGGTCGCTAATAATTGTGGAAGACATTGTCTTTTCGTAATTGCTAGCGTTTCAAACTCCTAGTCAATAATATTCTTTCGATCCAAAAAATCTCCAGCATGATTTACTTAACCGACTTATATAAACTCCAGTATATGGTAATGTAATTTGCACTTACTAAACTAGGATCATTTTTAGAATGCGCATGAAAGCATGACGACGCTTGAAAGATGAAAGACCTATAGTGTTGCTGAGAGATGAGAACAGATTTGAATGCATTCTTTCAGTTATATATTGTAAAAAAAACATCCGCTCTACCTTTTAATTCCGACTTTTTTCTTAATAGTTATAGATCATCCTTGGGGAACATCTCAAAATATAGTGTGTTTTACACCAATTTTGCTTTGGTTGTAAAAATGTTTCAAATTGAAAAAAGTCAAGAATTGACTGCTTAAAAAGTCTTATGACAAAGGTAAATGATTTGAACGAACTCACAAGTCTCTCAACACATGTGCTGCATAGCGAATGTCCACAGCTAAGCTGCAGAGGATGATCAAAACGTTCGCAACAAACCGGACAATCTGCAATTTCCTGCGCATCATACGTTAAGGTGGTGCTAGTTGCAGGATTGCATGACATCTAAACTTATTAAATCTGATATGCCAAAATGTTCTAACTAAGTACGTAGTTCACTTGAGTTCGTCTGATGAGGAAGCTTCTAAGGAAAATCATCTATAGAGAGATCTCTGAAGTGCTGGGTTGGAACGGAAGTCTCGCAACAATTATGCCAATTTTTAAAAATATGTTTATGGTTCCCAGACATCAGTTAATTACAAAATCAGCGTCGACGTCCCCACCTGTCTGCCATACTCATACGGCTTCTTGATTCTCTTTGGGGAAGCCGGCTGCAGTAGAAAAAGCGCAAGAGCATGTGCTGGGTCGGGCAAATTCAGCCCACCCTCAGAATTTCCAGATTGGTGTCTTGACGACGTGGACGTTCATTTTCATGAAGAAAATAAATATTGTCATGATTTTCGTTTCTTAATCATGTCGGTCAACTTTTGGATTTGGCAGCGTACGCTTCGCTCATTACATCAATGCCCATATCAGGCCTCGGCGGCAGGTCTCCGGAAGGCAAGCTGGAATTCGTTTTTTGTGGAAAAAGCAAAAGGGAGTTCGTATGGGATCCGGAGGAGAGCGGAGTTCAATCTCAGTTGAGACCGCTTTTTCACAACAGGAATATTGAAGCCCCATACCTACACACTCAAAGACCATTCAAAAGCTTGCTCCAGCAAAGTTTCAGTGTTCGTTC